GAACAACTCAACTTAATAAAACTACCCATCACCGATGGTGATTTCATGTTTAAAGGGCCATGTGCTTATAGTGGTCGGCTTTTACTGTTGTTTCCTAGAGGCAAAGTCAGTTTTAGAAAAAATGGTGCAATTTTCCCTCAGCCTTCCCTCACAACTCAACTATTTATAGAGACTCACACTTGTTTAATAATGAGATACCCTGCTTGGCTTACCATAAAAACACAGATGCTTCTGGGCTCTAACAGGGAGGCCTTTTACTCAGAGCATCTGTTTAAATTGGCCAGCCAGAAGATATCCACAGATTCCCATCCCCCTTCTTATTAAAGGATATTGACAGTTAACCAGGCTTACAAATGAAAAGGTTAGCTTAACATTTTGTCAAGTTTTTATTGTGTTGACTTGGTCAGTTCTGTAGTTTTGTTCTATTTAATGTTTGCTGTTTTCCTGTGTGTGTGTGTGTGTGTGTTATGCATTTGTGTATGCATGTTTTTGTATGTTTGTATGTGCACATGTCTTCTGTGTGTACATGTAAAGCAGGAGGATTATGCCAAGAATCACCCTCAGTTTTTTCTCTTTATCCACTGAGATATCAGCTCTTGCCCAAACTCCAAGCCCCCAACATGGTTAGGCTCCTTAACCCGTTTGCTCAGTGGATCTCTTGTCCTCACCCCAGAGGTATCTTCCTAGCCCCACGCTGTGTAACTTTGAACCCCTAAGTCATTTGAATATAATTCTGTTATATCCGAAATGATTTTGAAGTGATAGTGTTTTGCACACTTGTTCTTCAGGTGGTTTATAATGCAGTTGAAACAGGTTTGTATTCATCTGTAATGTTTAACAAGCACTCACTGGCTAGGTCAGACATGAGCGAAATCTAGTCTCTGCCCCTTAAGAATTGTCCCATGTATGAGTCAGGTGTTTTATCAGTTTAGTTGGGAGGGGCAGCTGTCCAGGATGTATCCTAGAATACATACTGTCTAAGCTGAGAATTGTAGAGTGTAGGCATTGGCCGAGTAAGGGATGCAAGTTAAGGGGGAAAGATCATAAAAGGAAGAAACTTGAGACACTGGGAAGATAGAAAACTTTAAATTGCTTCATATGTTTTCGGCAGATGGCTAGTCACGATAACCTTAAGCAAAACACTTTCATTTAGAAGATAAACTTGGGCCCTAGACTCTATTCATGTCACAGGAAATCAGTGATTTCCAAATACTTGATAATGCGGCTGGAGAGATGGCTCAGAGTTTAAGAGCACAGTCTGCTCTTCCAGAGGTCCTGAGTTCAATTCCCAGCAACCACATGGTGGCTCACAACCTTCTGTAATGGGATGCAATACTCTATTCTGTCATGTAGGTATACATGCAAATAGATTGCTTATATGTATAAATAAATCTTTTTAAAAAATGGTGACCCAAATATTTGATAATGAATCCCACATGTAAAAAGCATTTATAGAAAGAACCCCAGCAGGTCCATATTATGTGTTCACTAATGTCCTAACATTTTATACACAGTTTTGTACAAAATTGTCGGGTTTTGGACCCTGGGCTAGCTGCTGAGGTGCCTATTTAACATATCAAAGCGACCTGGCCTCAGATTCTCCCAGCATCCCTCAGTCCCTACCTGTTACAGGGGATGGCTGGCAAACCCTGAACTCTCCAGCCTAGGGGCTGGGCTTCCTCTCCACTAGAGGCTCTTCTATGTAGTCCAGACATTTTGGTCTGTCTCTTTCTCTTTCTCCGCATTTCTCTTTCTGGCTGCCCATGCCCCCATCCCCTGTTCCCCCATCTCCCTGTCGGCATGGCGATTTCACTGGCCCAGTTCCTGGGGACCAGTGAACTCACCCAAGAGCTATTCCCAAATAAACCTCCCCTTTTTACTTTTAATTTGGCTTGAATTGCTTATTTTATATGAAGAGAACACCTTACCTATTACATACAAAAAAAAAGAATAATATAATGATCAAATCTGTAATCTTCTATTTTTCTAGTAATCCATGAAACAACGAGATGAGTCATTGTTCTTTAGTGTCTGCTCAAGGGCCTCTTTCTAAATTTAGCTTATTTTTGACATTTGATTTTAGTGACAGTCCAAGCCCAGATCAAAGTGAGGGAATTTGGCTGCACTTTTGAAATTATGATACTGTTTTTTTTTTTTCTTTTAAGCAAACTAATCACCATTTATGGAAATGTTTTATTGACACATGGCTAGTATATATCCATCTGTCTACTTGTTTTTCTGAAAATGAATCAAAATTAGTAGTGCTAATAAGTGTGTTCAGAAAAACCCTTGGAAGCCATCATGTGGATGATTGTTTAGGGGCTTAAATTGTTCTGTTCCCAACTTTAGACAACACACACCTGAGTCTGGGCTTGGGGGGGGGAGGACAGCCACTGGCCTCAGTGGCTCAGCAAGTAAAGAACATATTCTTTTCAGTGTTTTCTTTTTAAATAAACATTTATGTAGGGGCTGGAGAGATGGGTCAGAGGTTAAGAGCACTGACTGTTCTTCCAAAGGTCCTGAGTTCAATTCCCAGCAACCACACGGTAGCTCACAACCTTCTATAATGAGATCTGGTGCCCTCTTCTGGCCTGCAGACACACGTGCAGACAGAATACTATATAAGTAATAAATAAAGTAAATCTTAAAAGAGATTTATGTAACTCTTTTTGTTTTAAACCCTCTTGTTTGTTTGTTTGTTTGGTTTGTTTTTTTGTTTTTTTTTGAGACAGGGTCTTTTTTATGCCTTAAACTGCCCGAACTCACTGTGATGTCCAGGCTGGCCTGAAAGCTGTGCTCCGCTTGCCTTAGCTTCAAGACAGCTAGGACTGCAGATGTGCACCAATACCTTTAGCTCTTTTAAATATTCTGTAGTTACCAGTAATCCTGTGTTATCTTTTTAAAAAGGAAGAAAAGGAAGGCTGGAGCAATGGCTCAGCAGTTATGAGCCCTGGCTGAGCTTCAGGGGAGCAGTGTGGTTCCCAGCACTCACACTAGGCGGCTCAGAACTGTCTGTGACTCCAGCTACAGGGGCTCTGACGTTTTATTTTATTTTAATTTTAATTTTTTTTTCAAGACAGGGTTTCTCTGTGTAGCCCTAGCTGTCCTGGAGCTCACTCTGTAGACCAGGCTGGCCTTGAACTCAGTCAGAGATCTGCCTGCCCCTACCTCCCAAGTGCTGGGATCAAAGGCGGGCGGGCGCCACCACTGCCCTTCAGGTTTTGTTTGTTTGTTTGTTTGTTTTTGTTTTGTTTTTTTAAAAATTTTTTAACGAAGAAAGTGTTTTGACGGCTACTTCCTATCTCCATGTGGAGTGTAAGGAAGATTCGGTATTGTGAAGACCTTGTTTAGATAAGGCGTACCTGGGCAATGACACCCTGCACACCCCTTTGGTTCTGACAAACCTGTCGCAGTAAGTTAACCTGTGACTAAGACGGTGGCTGCTGCTTTTTTAGTACATGCCAGGACTTTGTGTCTGTTCTCCTAGGCAAACAGCTCTTTTGCACCTGATGAACATTAATACAGTTTTGTGACGTGCTGCACTAAGTAGCCTGTGCCCTTCAGCAGACAGGAGAGAAGAAAGTCCTGGCAGGATTTGAGGCTTTCTTAGTGCCATCAGGTCTGGAAAGCTTATCTTCAATAAAAACTGTAAAATAAAGTTACTAATATCAGCTGGTTGGTGTTAGCACACACCTTTAATCCCAGCACTCAGGAGGCAGAGGCAGGCAGATTTGAGTTGGATGCCAGCCTGGTCCACAGAGTGAGTTCCAGGACAGCTAGGGCTACACAAATAAACCATGCCTTAGGGGAAAAAAACAAACAAACAAACAAACAACTAAAACAACACAAAACCAAACAACAGAAAAAACAACCCAAATCCTGCAGTGGTCATGCAAACCTGTGATTCCAACACTCTAAGGCCAAGGGATTGAGGGTCATCAGTTTAAGGCCAGCTTGGTGAAGTGCTTGCCTAGGATGCATGAAGCCCCAGGTTCAATTCCTAGCAGCACATAAACCAGACAAGGTGATACACTCCGGTTTTGCCAGCACTAAAGGAAGTGGAGGCAAGAGGATTAGAATTAGCTTAGGCAAGGGGCAGCCTAAACTATATATTGAGTTTGAGGCTAGTGTCAGCTACACAAGGCTGTGCTTCAGAAACAAACAAAAACTATTATTTAGAATATTTGGCAAGTAGGTACTGACCAAAAAGACCACTGGTTGCTGTTTTTCTTTTTGGGTACACTTTGTAATTTTTTTTGTTGAGAAATGTTTGGAAGCTCTCTGTGGTTTTGATTTTTTTTTCTCTTTTGGGACAGGGTCTTACTGTGTAGTCTAGGCTAGCCTCAGATGTTCAGTAATCTTCCCTGCCCCAGGCTGGAAGATGATTTTTCTTTCATTTATTGGAAACACAAATCATATCCACTTGGGATTTCTTACAAAAAGATGCTTTTTCAAAATACCTTTTATCAAATTTACTACTTGACTTTATTGCATTTTATCAGTCATGATTCTTTTCTATGAAAGAGGTAGAAAATCAATTCAAATAAGCTTAAGTTTAAAAAGAACATATTGGCTCTAATCAATAGTCCGGACTGGCCTCAAGGACTTGAACTTGGTTGCCTGCTGGGTCTGTGTTTTCAAGTGTGTGTATTTGCTGTCTGCGGCCTTTCTGTGCTTTCTGTAGGACACTGTTGTTATCCTTTAGAGTGGAAAGCCTTCTTCACATAGTGGTGTGCCAAGGAAGAGTGCTTTCTTCTGGTGCCATGGCAGAGGGAGGATAGGAGTGTATGTGCCTGCACACCTGCTATTATCTGCCGTTACCCAAGCCACAGGAAATGAGTTGAGCCACTTCCCAATGAAGGAGGAAACGGGAGACTCAAAATGGGGGAATGTTTACTGCAACATTTGTAGCGATTGAGAGTCAGGAGCAGGAGGCATGCCGTGTTCTTTACGGTTGAAATCATGGCTTAGTCTTACGTTCCTAATCGTTGATTTTCCAGAGCATGCAAGCTGCAAGATGCCCTACTGACGAACTGTCTTTAAGCAACTGCGCAGTCGTGAACGAGAAGGACTACCAGTCTGGCCAGTGAGTAGCTACCTGATTTGATTCTTTTAACTCGCTAAGTGTTGTTTTAGAAACTTCCAAAGAGTTGTTTTAGGAAAACCTTTGGAAATTGCCTTTTTTATTACTTTTACCAAGTTGGAAAATGAAGATGAGAGTTACATATTTCAGTTATTGTTATGTTAAACCTTGATAAATAAAGCATATATGCCTAGATACATGGAACATTTTTAAGCTGTTTTTCTTAGGGTAGACACACTGGTTATAAGTATCATATAACGTGGTTGGCAGCCATCTTGTTGTGGAGTCTCATTGTCTAAGTTTGGTACCTAGCACGACAGTCACAAACTGAGGATAAGGCATGTGCCACCTCATGTTCTTGTGTCCTGATCTATAAGATGGGGGAGAGGTGAAGAATAAGTTGCTCCAGTAAAACCTGGACAACTGTGCCCAGCACGTTAGTGAGCCCTCCATAAAGGTTTACCAGTGTGATCGTTGTTACTATGGAAGTAGAAGAAGCATAAAGATTGAACATATACAAAACCTGCAGGTCTACAAAAGGACTTTCATCATCACTTATGTTAACTGATTCATATCACTGATTCATACCATACTGACCTTCCAAAGACTATTGCCAAGTTCAATGCAAGCTACATCAGCAGGCCGTCTGGAGACTTATGGATTTAGCTTTGGCCTGAGAGGGAGGCAGTGTTGGTCATTCTGTGATGTTAAACTGAAGATAAGACTTTCAACAAATTGACCGATCAATAAGAGAGTTTTATGGAGTTCTTTCACATGGGCTGAACTTTCCACTTAAAATACCGTAGATATAAGGAGCTTGTGTTTTAGTAGCAAAGCAAATATCCATCTACATATATATAACTAAAAATATAGCATTGTAAAAAGCTGTTTGTTGAAAAATAGGTGGGTCAGGAGGTGACACTTAATGGCAGTGTGCCTGGCATGCATAGGCTCTGACAGGTTTGCTCTACAGCCATTCCCCATCCTCACTCTCGTTTACATACAAAAGATAGTGCCAGAGTTGGGCATGGTGGCACATGTCTCTGACCCCAGCACTCAGGGAGGCAGAGGCAGGCAGATCTCTGTGAGCTTGAGGCCAGTCTGGTCTACAAAGCAAGTCCGGGACTGCCAAGGTAACATAGAGAAACCCTGTCTCAAAAAAAAAAAAAAAAAAAAAAAAAAGATAGTGCCAGCACATAACAAAATTCGATCTGAAGCTTCTATCTCAAAGAACTCATTTGTGTCCTGGGTTAGAAGATTATCATGAGATGGCTTTACATAAATATAATAATATATATTACATAATATATTGTATTATAATAAATATTGCTATAATGTTCAGACTTGAGAGATTCTGATGGAAGATTTAAGAAACAACCTTAAAAACTTAACAGCTATGTCATATATATCCTAGCTCTTATAACTTTGGGTCTCCTACATTTATTTTATTAGATGTATGAAATTACCCTCAGGAAAGGAAATTCATCCTAACCTATGCTTCTGTTTCCTATAAACTGGAAATACCATGAAGCTGATGCTTCAAAATGGGTATTCTCATTGGAACTTGGCTGGATCTTGCTCAGTTTGTGTGGGCCAAGATGTCTTAACGTCTACAAGACACTTTGAGTTAGTTTTTGGGAACTACGTTTATGGTTTTCTGTCAGGACTCTCATATGATGCCATGTTTTCATCTGTGTTCACCAAACACAAGGCTGGGAAGAACGTGTGTAGAAGCCATGTTCTTGTTGGAATCCTGACTGTGCTCTGTCTTTTAGGCATGTGATGGTGAGGACGTCCCCCAACCACAGGTACATATTTACGCTGAGGACCCACCCATCTGTGGTTCCAGGAAGCATCGCCTTCAGCTTACCTCAGGTAACACGAATGAAGATGTCTTCTCCTTAGCTGAAAAGTTACGGAACTGCGGATTCATTTTAAGCAAGCATTGCCCTGTAACTGTATTGACTCATATTGAAGAAAGACACCTAGATGTTACATAGAGAATTTGAAGACCTATTCTTCTTTGAAAGTATTTTGCTTTGTTTGAGGGAGGGCATGCATGCCACAGTGGAGGTCAGAGAGCAACTGGCAGTTGTTTTAGCACTCGGGTCCTGGGGTTCAAGCTCACGGCATTAGGTTTGACAGCAGACACTTGTGCACCAGCTCACTGCTCCCCATTTTTTTAAAATAATGTTTTTTATTTATATTATGTATGATTGCTCTGTTTGCATGTACACCTACATGCCAGGGGAGGCCATCAATCCCTTTATAGATGGTTGTGAGCCACCATGTGGTTGCTGGGAACTGAACGCAGGACCTCTGGAAGAGCAGCCAGTATGCTTAACCTCTGAGCCATCTCACCATCCCCCAAAATACGTTCTTAATTGTCATTTATTTACAGTGATATCTTTATATTGTCTTAAATTTTTTTTCTAAAAAAAAAAAAAAGGTGTGATATTGAAAAGGTGTGATATTCTTTTGATGCTAAATCCCAGGTTAACGGAAAATATATAAAATAACACAACATTTATCTTATTTATAAAATTGGCATCTAATAACGCAGGCTTTATAATGCTGTGGTGTCAGACCCAACCTGCAAAGAGTAGTTGTCTAGGTGACTACCTAACTTTCTGGGCTTCTCTAGAGCTGGGAAGACAGAATGCACAGTCACACTGCCCAGTACCACAGGGGCCACCTGACACCAAAGAATCCACATTCCTAGCAAGGTAACTTTACATTTACTTCTATAGATTAAAATTTTGGGCTATGTGAGATTCTGACCCAATCTCAACAAGTAAACAAACTAATCAATTTAGTTTACTAAAAGTGTGGGCTGTCGCTAGATTTACCAGCTTTGAACAGAGCTCCAGGCTAGCCAGGGCTGCATATTGAGACCCACTCTACAAAAAACAAAATCCTCCCAAGATGCCCTCCAAGTCAGGCATTGTTTTAAGTACGCTGGGATGTGGTAACTGATTCAGTCCTCAGAACAAACACCGGACACCGGCACTCTCCTCCAAAGACAGTCTTTGCAGGTGAAGTCCGGAACCTCAGTGTAGCCACTTTGTGACCCAAAGTCTGGAGTTTTACAGAGGGTCGTTTAGGGGCTGTGTGTGTGGAAGGAGTGTGACCCATGGGAAAGAAGTTGGAAGGGGAGCGTTCCCTGGGCATGCTCACAGCGTAGCACTTTTTTAACCAACCCACCCCAGAGTCCACTGTGGCCACATGAGTAGGCAAGCTGTGGGTTTTCAGCCGGAGTTCTTCTCAGCATTCTATGGAGTGCTATCAGTAATAACTGATTTTAAATCTGTGAGCGTAGCTCTGAATCCTCACCTAAATGCATTCTGTCCTGTCTCCTGCCAGTGTAGTCAGGACTGGGGACTGGCTCTAAGCACCCGAAAATCCTTTGGCTGGACTGCGCAGGGTAATCCTGTCCAGTCCATGATCTGAGTCCCAGCTTAAGTTTCAGTGTGCATCATCTGAACTAGTTTTAGTTTAATTTCATGAATTAAATTTTTTTTTTTTTTTTTTTGGTGATATAACAAATCATACAAAACTAACTGCATCAGTGCACTCATTCAGAAACAACTGCTGTAGTGATGATGGTGGCGTGCATTACCGGAACAAAGCTTTCTAAATACAGTCAGATCCACAGGTCCTGGGGGCTGAAGACTGACATTGTGGGTGTGGGTGGGTGTGGGGTTCACAGTTCAGCACATAACTTACTGTGCCTTGGCTTTACAGTATCTTTTCTGTAATTTACAGCTGTTCATCTTTTTCTTTGTTTGATTTTGATTGACTTGATTTTAACTGTCTTTTTTTCTCTCATTTTATAGCGAAAATGGGCTGGACTTTCTATCGGGCAGGAAATAGAAGGTAGGTATTTTTTTAAAACTACCTGACATTGATTTTCTGTATTATTCTCAGAGTTATTGAGGTCTCTATAATTATTGATTATTGGGTTTTAATGGTTGATTCCCTGCGGAGCACTAGTGACAGCTGTGCAAACGGAGAGGCAGTGTGTGCTGCCTGGAGCCTTTTCCCCTTTGTCAATAAAGTGTGTCCTAAAATCGTTAGCGCTCATCAGCTTTTTGCCTGGCTGCTGCAGCTGGAACTCAGTTCTCAAGCTTATGCAGCAAGCATTTTCACCTGCTGAGCTGTCTCCACGGCCCCTGATAATTTAATTTTTATCTTAAAAAACAATCTTAGTTTTGCTCTCTTTCTTCACAGAATCTAAATAAGTTCACCTGAACCTATTCTCTCCTGAGTAGTTTGCTAGACTCATTGCCTGCTTTGTATTTATTTCTATTGTTAGTTTTAACCTTCTGATTTAGTTTTCAGGGGGCTGGGATGTAGCTCAGCGAGCGTTTGCCTCACGTATTGGTTTGCTCTCTTGCTGTGATTAAGATCATAATCAAAAGCAACATGGGGAGAAAGGGTCCATTTGGCTTTCATGTCCTGATGGGAGCCAAGGCAGAAGACAGTCAAGCGCGCAGGAACCTGAGGGCAGGAATCACAGCAGAGACCACAGGGGAGTGCCGCACACCAACGCGCTCTCCATGGCTCGCTAAGCTTGTTTTCTTATACAGTCCAGGCCCAGAGCGGGCTGGGCCCTCCCACATCAAGCATGAATCAAGACAATGCCCCACAGATTTACCTACAGGCCAATCTAATGGAGGCACTTCCTCAGTTGAGGTTCCCTCTTTCCAGATCACTCAGTTTATGTCATGTTGACAAAAACTAACTGGCACACCTAGCATGTAGGTGTATTACGGCCCTGAATTGGATTCCCAGGTCATAGAAAAGCAAACAAGAGAAAAAGAAACCACAGGCTAGAACAGTGGCTTAGTGCTCATGAATGCAGGAGGACCATGAGTTCAGATCCCCAGCACCCACACTAATGGTGGGTGGGTATAGTAGCTTACTTATGACCCCAGCACTTGGGAGGCAGAGACAGTATCCCTAGGGCAAGCTGACTAGCTAGACCAGCAGAATCAGTAAGCTCCTGCTCTGTATAGCAAGACTCTGCCTCAGCTATATAAGGTGGAAGTCAGTGAAGGAAGGTCTCCACATGTATGTGCATGCATGTGAATCCCCCCAAGGAATTTCTCTGGACCTAGAGCCGTAGATTGCTGTGTCCTGTGCTTGTTTATTTATCTTTTTTGAGACAGTCTCACTGCATAGCTCTAACAGGCTGGAATTCACTCTGTAGACCAGGCTGACCTCAAACTCACTGAGATCTTCTCATCTTTGCTTTCTGAGTACTGGGATAAAAGTTGTGCACCACCATGCCTGGCTGAATTACAGATATATGCTTTACTGTCATTTGATGCTATCTTTATCTTTGGGGAGGGGATTTTGCCTGGGTTTTATCTGTGGTGGTCCCTCCTGCCCTCCTTTTCTGCCTCTTTCCCACAGTGGGAGCTCTATGTTTATGTGTCTTTTCAAATAGTTCAGTTTTCATGGTGCTCAAGGCATGCTGATTGGAGACCGTGTGTGGTATTGTTGGCCTCGTTGGTATCGTGAGGCCACCGCTATCTCTCAGCCCAGTGACTTTGACGATATTCTCAGATGTAGTAGCTTTAAACTGGATCAAAAGAAGATAATATTTGAGAGACGTTGGTAAAGTGGTAGCACAGTGTTCATCTCTTAGAAAAGTGACAGCAGAGAACTAGGAGAGAATCCCAGTGGGGGTGTTCGCCTAGAAACACGCCACCCTGCTCTCCTTCCTGCGTTGGAGGGAGGGTAAGCATTGAGCTTTCCTTTAGTTGGCTCTTTATCCATTGTGGAAGCAATAAGAGGATGAGAAAAGTCGGAGTAAGAAAGAACATGCTTGGTTTTGATACGGGCATTTGATGGAGAGGGGTGCAGTTAGAGCTTTCCAGACCAGCCAACAGGGGTTACTTGGAAGATCTATTTTTAGAAACAGTTTCATAGGCTCTTGGGGAATCTGCTTCATGCGTCTGGGTTTTTAACAGTCCCCTTTAAGTGGTTCTTCTCAGTCACATTTTGTGAAACGCTGACATAAGTGATTCCCTCTTGACCTGAAGCATAGTGCAGAGCTGGGAAAGCGGAGGAGTTAGCACCAGAGTGAAGTAGGTCAGCGCGTGGAGCAGGGTTCCCTGTTTGCAGAGACAAAAGCAACTACTTTGTGAAATATTTAATGAGGCGATGCATTTGAATGTAGGACAGGTTTCTAATTTCCTTAAGTTTCTCTGTCTAAATAGAAGGGCAAGAGTGCTTTAAAACTTCACTTTTGAAAGATGTATTTTTGTGTGTGGGTATGTGTGTGCACCTGCATGAGTCTGTGTTCACCTGTGTGCTGGTGCCCTCAGAGGCCAGGGGCATTGGATCACCTGGAACTGGAATTCCTAGCAGTTGTGAGCTGCCCTATTGTGGATGCTAGGAGCTAAACCCAGGCTTATTCAGATATATGCTCTTAACCTCTGGGCTATCTCTCCAGCCCTTAAGTTTAACTTATTTATTTGATTTTATTTTATCAATTGATTGATTGATTTTTTTTTTTTTTTTATTTTGAGGCAGGGATTCTCTGTGTAACTCTGGCAGTCCTGGAACTAACTCTGTAGACCAGACTGGCCTGAACTCACAGAGATCCACCTGCCACTGCTTCCCGAGTGCTGGGATTAAAGGCGTGCACCACCAGTGCCCAGCTCTAAATTTAACTTTTAATGTAGTTGTTTTCTGTTTGAAAAGGTGTATGTGGTGGTTTGGTTGCCAGTGGCCCCACAGGTTCATATATTTGAAGCTTGGTCACCAATCGGTGAAACTGTTTGGGAAAGACTGAAAGGTATGGCCTTGTTGGAGAAGGTATGTCACTGGGGGCTATAGCTTTGAGGTTTCAAAAGTCCATGCCGTTCCCAGTTACCTCTCTCTCTGCCTGGTGTTTATGGACCCAGAATATAAGGTCTGTTAGCTGTTCCAGTGCTCGTTTGCTGCCATGATGATGGTCATGGACTCTAGCCCTCTGGAGCTGTAAGCCTCCAGATTAAGTGCTTTCTTCTATAAATTGGCCATAATGTCTTATCACAGCAACAAAAAAGTAACCAAGACAGTATGTTGCAAACTTTGATGGGTTTTTAAAAAATGTATCTTATGGCTGCCAGTATGTTAAAAAAACAATTTTATTCTACCAGAAATAGTTTTCTTGTCTAGGTCTTTTTTTTCAAGTATTTAAAAAAATAATTTATTTTATGTGCATTAGTGTAAAGGTGTCAGATCCCTTGGAATTGGGGGCATAGACAGCTGTGAGCTGCCATGTGGGTGCTGGGAATTGAACCCAGGTCCTTTGGAAAAGCAGACCGTCCTCTTAACCACTGAGCCATCTCTCCAGCCCCTCTTGTCTGGATCTTTAGAGAGGGGAGTTAAGGGGAATTTATGGTCAGGCAGTTGTAAGCTGAGTGGCTGAGCTGGACGAAGGCAGGCGAGGCAGGCATCTGAAGGGCACAGTGGGGCCTGGCTGATGTGGAGGGTGAGTCCCTAAAGGTAGGAAACTGCTTGTCAGTGTGAGTGGTGATGCAGGCGCGCTCCAGAGAAACCGTGCGTCGAGGGCCCTAACGTGGAAGTCCCGTCTCCAGGCCATTGTAGTGTGTTTTCTGGAAGGATGACCTAGCGTGTTTGTCCAGCAGTGACAGACTTCCTTGCCATGTTTCCTGCCTCTCCTATCATCGAAAGGCCTAAGCGCATCCAAAACGTTGCTTGTGACTTAGCGGTTTGCCCATAAAACTCACTTAAATATATGTCATGTGCGTGAATGTTGGCCTACATGTAAATCCGTGCACCTTTTGTCTGCCTACAACCCACAGAGCCCAGATAAGGGCTTAGCATGCCCTGGTCCTCTACAAGAGCAGCCAGTGCAGAGCTGCACTGCAGAGCTGTCTCTCCAGCCTTTGTAAAAGTCACTTAAATTAGTATCATATTACTACAAAATAATATTTTAAAAAAATTCAGCACCCTCTGTTCTGTGCTGGTGTAGAACACCAGACTCTGGGACTGGCCATGGTACTGACCTGGGACACTGTCCGTGGTGCTGACCACAGTCTTGGAAATTGTTGGTAGCTTGATTTTTGCTATTTAGGAGCAATTGAAATGCATTTAATAACTATAGGTTAGTGGTGATATTTTAATATACCCATTAATATTTCCAAGTTGAAGATAGCATAGTCATATGTGCTAGACTGCCTTGGCTTCTTTTTTTTAATAATTTATTTAATTTTATTTTATGTACATTGGCATGAGGGTGGCAGACCACCTGGAACTGCTTACGGACAGTTGTGAGCTGCCATATGGCTGCTGGGAGTTGAACCCAGGTCCCTTGGAAGAGCAGACAGCACTCTTAACCACTGAGCCATCTCTCCAGCCCTGCCTTGGATTCTTTAATGCACAATATGGTATCACAGTGTACAAATCCTTATAAAAATATTTTTCATTTACTACTTTATTTTGGCAATTTTTATTAAATTGGGCCAAGTTTATTTTAATAGCATGGCTCAACAGTGTGGTGCATTGTGAGTTTTCTGCATTTCTCCCTTGTTCCCCTAATGATCAGTGTTTCTAAGTGTCTGACCATTGCCAGACAGTGATGGCTGTGGTGCGTCTCCCTATGGATTTCTCTTTAGACAAATGTTCAAGCATGCCTGGGACAGACACCTGGAATTACTGACACATTTATTGTCTCAATGTTTCAAACTATAAGGATTTTACTACATGGAAAGTAATCTTTCTTGCTTATGAAAGTTACTCAACATATAACTATATCCCAGAATTGCCAGAAAACATGACAAGAGAACAAAACGTCAGAACTGGAGGCAGGAGAGCATTCTAAAACTTTGGGCCAAAATTATTTTATTCTTTCTTTAGTGCATTTTCCTGCCCTCACTAGGGCTCTGTTATTTTGCTTTTGAATTATATAAAATGTCTTTACCCCCGTTTAAGATGCCAAGCCAAAGTATGAAAATGTGATTACACAAACAATTTTATTCAAATAATTACAGAAAATTTTTGTGCACAACTCAAGTGGCTATAATATATGAAGTAAGTTTAGAAGAAAGTTCAGAGTTTTACTGATTAAGACTTACCTAATTCAGTCTTTTTTTTTTTTTTTTAAGATTTTATTTATTTTATGCATGCGTGCTCTATCTGCATGCCAGAAGAGGGCATCAGATTCCAGGACAGATGGTTTGAGCCACCATGTGGTTGCTGGGAATTGAACTTGGGACCTCTGGAAGAATAGACAGCACTCTTATCTACTGAGTCATCTCTCCAGCCCCTAATCCAGTCTTCTTGATGACACTTGTGACACTTGAAAGCTCAGAGAGATCAAATGATTTATTTAAGTTCCAGCAGGATCTGTTGATACAGACTCAGGATTCCTTTGGAGAAAACATCTTTGTAAACCACTGAAGTCCCAGGTATTTAATAATGATGAGTCATTTGAGACCCATGTAAGTGACTATTTTTGTTTCACTTTTTGCTGTTTGACCAGTGCAACTCACAAACGAACCACACCTCTTGTCCAAAATGAATGTTAAAACATCCATTTTTGTATGTTTTTAAGATTTATTTGTTGAAGCTGGAGAGATGGCTCGGCAGTTAAGAGCTTTTATTGCTCTTGCACAAGACCTGAGTTTGGTTCCCAGGACCACTTCCGGCCACCCACTCACAACCTCCCAGAACTCCAGCTCCAGGGGATCTGATACCTCTGCGGGCACTGGCACGCGCTTGCACATACCCCACCCCCTCACACACACACATACGCTACACACACAATTTAAATATGCAAGATAAAATCATTTTAAAGAGTTTAAGTTTTCTTCTTTGACAGTTTTATATGTGTATATAATAAATTGTCATCATTTTGCCCTCCCATCGTCTTCTCTCAGCCCCCAGTGTCTCCCCTCCTCCCAGCAACCCTTCTGCTTTCATGTCTGGGGTGTGTGTGTGAGAGATCCCCTGAGTTGACTTAGGGCTGTTTGCAGAGGGTGGGTGGGCAGTTATTTACTAGAGCATGGGCTACACCACTGAAGAAAATGACCCCTTTTCTCCCCCAGCTAACATTATCTGTCCATAGTTCCTCCAGGAAGGGGTGGGGCTCTGTGTACTGTCTCCTCTTCCATAATGAGAGGTTGAATGGTCCAATCTTATGTAGGTCTTATGTGGATAACAGATACAGTATGCTCATGAGTTCAAAAGCCATGTCACCTCCAGAAGATTTTTTAAAAAGATTTATTTTATGTATATGAACAGTTTTCATGCATAGCAGAAGAGGGAATCAGATTCCATTACAGATGATTGAAAGCTACCATGTGGTTGCTGGGAACTGAACTCAGGACCTCTGGAAGAACAGCCAGTGCTCTTAACTGCTGAGCCATATCCCCAGCCCCAGAAGACCATCTTGCCAGCCCAGATGTTCTTTTGAACCGTCACATACTCTGGCTCTTTCATTCTTTCCACTCCGTCCTCTGGAAAAAAAAAA